GCACAATCCAATCCAAGAGCACATATTCTATTAGTGTCAAACTATTCCAAGGCATAACATTTTCAATTCAATGATGGGCTTCTCAATACATGTTTTCAGCCTGGACTCTCGAATCTTTCAGGAGGATGAAAGGCGATCCGCGGCTGAATCAATTAAGTTTAGAACATAGACTTATAGCAGTACTTTCAAGTCCGCTAAAGAAATGGTACTGCACAAAAATAAGGCATTTTAACTCAAGAAAATATACCAGTCAAATCAAAATCAGTCCCAACACAGTTTGATACTCAACGACTAAACATAGGCAGATCCAAAAAGTATAAATGGAACTGCTATGACATCCAAACAAGAACTTCATTATTGTTGATTATCAGGGATAGAATGACAGAGACAGAGATATAATATGAAAGAATATGTTGAATTGATGTAATGATAATGATACAAAGTAGGTATAAATAGGCTAACATCAAACGGTTAGTAAATCACTATTTCAACGGCTATATAATGTAATTATAGTAGCAATCTAAACAACGGTTATAATATAATCTAATTATGTTAACATACCCCCCAAACTCAAGGTGGTAGAGCAGAAACCAACTTGAGTTTGGGGGCTATGTTAACATAATTAGATTATATTATAACCATTGTTTAGATTGCTACTATAATTACATTATATAGCCGTTATAATAGTCAGAAACCAACTTGAGTTTGGAGATAAAATCCGGAGAGGAAGACGGGAGGCAGATTTGTGGGGATCAGACTCATTGCATGTGAAGTGCAAGATAAGGCGCGTGAAGCGCGTGAAGACCATTAATGGAACGTGGTGATGCGGTACCAGAATTGTGAAGATCCGATACATTGAGATGCTTAAAAGCACATGATAGACCACTTATGGCAAGCATGGTAGCCTTGAGAGAGCTCTTGAAAGCAAATACTAGCGTGGAATCGTAGAGTGGAATTACCACTTAAGAGACGCACGTATGCGTATGACAGAGCGGGATTACTGCTTGATAGAGTGATATACTTGAGAAGCGCACAGGCATATAAGGACCACTTTACGGTAAGTGTGGTAGTCATAAGCTCTTGAAAGCGAATAATATAATGGAATCATAGAGTGGAATTACCACTTGAGGTGACGAAACTATGAAGATTCGACACGTTGAGAGTGCTTAGAAGCACGGTAAGAGTGAAATTACCACTTGAGGTGCTTGGGAGCACGTTGAGAGTGGGATTACCACTTGAGAGACGCATTGAGTGCTTAGAAGCACATGACAGGGCGCTTGGAAGCGCGTGATAGAAATGTCGATGACAGGGTGTTTGGAGGTGCAGGAGAGAGCCAAATCAATGCCAGGAAACTAGGCGGGCTGTACACCGAAAATTGGAACTGGTTGGAATACGCCCCTTTAAGTTCTAGAGGTGCAGGAGAGAGCTAGATCAATGCCAGGAAACTAGGCGGGCTGTACACCGAAAATTGGAACTGGTTGGAATACGCCCTTTAAGTTCTAGAGGGATAACAGGAGCACCTAGAACTTGAATCTAAAACTGGGCCAAAGCTGAACTGAACTGGGCCAAAACTTGAACTGAACTTGGCCAAAGCTGAACAGGGCTGGAGATGAAACTGGGCCGATTCTGAAAACTGACCTTTACCACGTTGAAAAGAGTGGGACTCTGCCCATGAGAATTGTGATTTTTTTTTTTTTAAAGCAATGATGCGGGTTGGAGCAATGGTGTAGAGGGGTCCACACCCCTATTGATTAATCTAGCACCGCTCCCTCCTTCTCTTCTCTTTCTCCAAAAACAATCTGCCACAGAATACAAAATATTGTATAGCCCCGATATAGGACCAAACAGATAGGTAAGAGAAAGGTGTCAGGCAAGGTGTGGGAGAGATCCGGCAGAGAGGCAGGCAGCGGTGCGGGAGAACAGATCGCCAGTGACGGTTTAGAACTGGTTTGGCGACAACGATGAACGACGGGCCGCAGTGATTGGCTGCAGCAAACTGGGTCCTCTGAATCGGTCAACGATGGCACGCGGCGTTGAGCAAGAAGCTGTGAAGAACTGGATTAAATCGGTGGCGATGGAAGGATTGACAGCGGTGAAGTGGTGGCTGAGATGGAGTGACGACAACGGGCTTCAGATTATGTCGGCTGTGATGGACGGCGGGACTGAACGGCGGCCGGCGAACAGGGATCTCAGCGACACGGATGATGGCGGCTGTGGATGGCTCGGATGAGGGAGACGACGAAGATAGAAGGCGGGCAAGAATTGGCCGGCTGTGGAGTAGCGGCAGCGGCGTTGAGCTGCGACAGTGGGCTTCGCTTCGGATGATGGCGACGGCGGTAGTGCACCGACGAGGAGAACTCGGGTATTTAGACCGAGTTGACTCGGCAACGAGGGAGAGCCGCGGCCGAATCCGAAAATTCCGGTTGGTTGACGGGAAGAGAATAGAGATTTGCGGACGACGAAGTCAGGCACCTTCTTCCCCGGCATCGAGATCGAGCATCTGGGTTGTGAAGGAGCACGGTGATGAAGTGATGGAGTGGCGTCTGGCAGTGATGAACGCCGGTAGGCGCGTCTGATGATGGGACACGACAATGATGGAATGAGTCTGGCAGTGATAAACGCCGATAGGCGCGTCTGATGAGAAAGAGCGTGGAGAGTGGGGTGCTTAAACAGAGGTGTGAAAAGTTGGGCCAAATGGAAGAGAAAATGAAGATAGAGAAAACTAAGGTTTTTTAAAACCTTAGCTGTGATGTGAAGATTGGCGTCTGATGTGTAGAAAAGAGGTGTGTAAAGTTGGGCCAAATAAAAGACAAAATGAAGATAGAGAAAACTAAGGTTTTCAAAACCTTAGCTGTGATGATTCAGGTGTTGGGGCCGTGTGGTTTTATTGAGGACTTGGACCGCCGCCGGAGATGAGGCTTATGCCGACATCTCCGACGGTGGCTCTGATGCCATGTTGATTATCAGAGAATAAGCGACAGAGACACAGATTTAATATGAAAGAACATGTTGAATTGATGCAATGATAATGATACAAATCAAGTATAAATAGACTAAGATCAAATGACTAGTAAATCACTATTACAATAGTTGTAATAGTTATATAATGTAATTATGATAGTAATTTAAACAACTATTATAATATAATCTAATTATGTTAACAATTATTTTATGTTAACAATTACCAATAAGCAACTTACTGTAATGTTGTCAAACATGAGAACTTCCAACTAATTACTTTTAGTCATAGCAGAGTGTTGCTTACATTAAAGCAGTGCGTAATAAAGAATCAAAGAATCAAACATCTAGCCCTTAGCAAGGAAGCCAAATCCATATTTTTTAAAAACAACTATAATATACATATTTGCTTCATCAAGTTGTAATCACAACTAGAGACGAAACGAGGACGTCGGTCCCAGAATCTGAGCAGGGTTAAATTGCTTCTAAAAATTAATCAAACACTTCACATAGTCTCAGTACCTACATGGACAGCCGGACCAACTCATTGAGAAATAATGGGGCAGGGGACACTAAAAGAAAGTATCTCTTTCATTTATGTGTCCGTAACTTAAAATTAATAAGTTTCATCATTTTAGACTCAAACAAGTGTCTTATGTAACATAAACATGTCTCAAAAAAGCCACATCCCGAACAAACTTTGAAACAGGATCAACATATCTCAAAACATGCAATTGACACTTTTTAGTATTGGACAAGAATATAAATGTAAGTTTGTAACTAAAACATATAATAGGTAATCAGCAAAAATATTGCATATATGTAAATTTTTACGATATATTATTATTTGCAAAGCTTCATCTTCCACGTATGCAATTATTAGTAAAGTAGACAATTAATCAAAGTTATATATAATCATATATAAATATAATAGATGTACTACACTCAAATTAACTCAACAAAGCCTTTTTCCCAACTATTTGGAGTCGACCACATGAATCTGAAATTTTCAGTTCCGCTCTATTAAAGGTCATAACCTAAGTCAAACTACATTTTATCATATCTTTTTTTTACCAACTCTACAAGAGGAGTGCTAAGGACAGTCGCTTAAAGAATTGTTTGTCCTTTCACACTTGCTCTTCTTATTGGGTGGTTTTATATCATTAATGACTTGTTTCCTATTTTTAAGAAACATTAAAACCACAACATTTTTAAGACAGTTCACACCAATATACTTGGCTTCAGTGAGAAACAAGGCCTCACTGGAAAAAAGGTTATTTTGGTAATCATAGAGGCCACTTATTGGACTGAAAACCCTGTCATTTTCTTTGTGTTCAGCCACTAAATGTCCATATGGGGTTCTATGGAAATGCTGTTTGAGCTCCTTTAACTCTGGTATGTTTGTAGTAATTTATGCCAACAGAAATGAATATGCATAGTTTCTGTTTCAAAAAACTTACAGGTCCACGAAGAAGGCAATGCTTTTCCATGAAAGAAAGGCTTCAAGACATTGCATGTGGGAAAATTGTTCGAAACTATTATGTTATTACGTTAATGAGTCACAGAATAAAACTGACCGGAGAGTGAATAAACAAGAACTAAGACTTGAAGTTAACAATTACAACTATTTAGATTATTTTAATCCTTAAAAGCTTAGGCATGTGTAGGAGATTTATGGTTGCTTTTATAAGACAATTTTCCAGTTGGAGGATAGAATTTGTCTAGTTACTGTACAAGTGACTGATATTTATAACTTTCTCATAACTCTTTTTTCCCTTATTTTCTTCACCACTTTTTCAGGGGATAACCTGTCTCGGCTGTTGGAGCTTTCAAGCATTCTTCCCAAATCTGCCTGGTAGGTCCCCACCCCTTTCAGTGCAGCATACCTTTCAGTGTTGACTAAACATATGTTTGTCAACTTCTTTGCAGATTGATCCACATAGGAGAGGAACCAAAAGGCATGGTGGTGTTTCCTATTCAATTCTTGTAACTTTCCTATGTGTTACTAGATTTTTGGATTCCTATAACTTTGCTATAAAATCTGAACCCAAGGTGGTTTTTCTTATGATAAAGTCTATAAGTTTTAGTTATTTAGTCTCTGGTGTTCCTTCCAATACAAGGACAAAAGGGCTAGATCACGCCTACAGAAAATTGTATTCATCAGAAAACGCACCTCTATTGTCTGATAAATTTTTTGTTTACAATAAAAACCACAATGTTGGGATGCAGGAATGCTGCACCACTAATAAATGGAGCAAGTTTACCAAGCGAATCTGCTGACCCGAGGCTTCCATTGACAAATGCAATTTGGTGAGGGGATCCGTGATGTCAGATTGAGACATAAGTCTTCACAATGAATGATTTTGTCACTACCCCTCGTTGTTGTCCTCGTTAATGGTTCCAAAAACTTAGACCTACAGATGAAAAAATAATGGAGATTCAACATATTGAATAGAAATCTTATTCAGGGTAACTGCAGTTGGATAAATAATTAAAAGATGGAACAAATTAAGTAAATTATGGCTCTTGTAACTAAACATCCATATGGTTCTACAAATTGTTAGAATAACTACATTTACACCATTGCATTAGCTGGTGGATCCTACATCAGTCTAAATAACTAAGCAATACAAAGCACAAATAGTAGCATTATTTGTTTCAATCAAGGCTATTAAGCAATTATATTGATTAGTTAGCAAAACCCATTGCCACTCTCTCAACTTCAGCAATCTCCTTAAGAATTCTTGCAGGAAACATGGCTTAAAATTCACCTACTAAGAGGGCTTTGTTTTTTGTCCAATTTGTGAGATGCGCTTCAGCTCTTGGGTTCCCTTTCTCATTTCCCTGCAAAATCCAACAAGAAGCACCATGAATGTACTACAAAAGTTTGATAAAATACATTCATTTAAAAGACTAGAAACGGCACCTTTGGTACAAATAAACAATAAGATAGAAGATAGGTAGCAGCATCAAGGTTAATATTGAAATAGCCAAGTAGAAAATGCTTGTATACTTCTGCACAGATAAACAATTCAACAAAATTGGCATCAGCAGAAACACCACCAAAGAAAAAATCTTAATAAAAAAGAAATAAATAAATAAATGAATGAATCCTAAATTAAATTTAGAAAGCAGAGGATTCAAAACAGACATATTGTAGATTATTTGGCATACCCAAAGTGTGAAGTCCTCCATTTGGCAGCCAATAAAATTCAGGTGGCTTGCACACATTTAATCAAAATGCTTTCTATGACTGTTTCTGATTGCCAAAAGGAGAATTTAGCATTTAAATTGATGTCCAAGGGCACTCAATTAGGGAGAGTTTTGCTCTTAGAGCTTCTAGCAAGACACATCATACTCCTTTCATAACATTTACACAGGCAACTATCTCTCATTCATGAAATTCATTTCATCAGTTTTCCTGATAATAATTTCAAACTTCACCAAAAACATCCAAACTATTTTATTAAGCCTTACCCTGCCTCCTCTGGAGAAGGGATTTCGCATTCCTGAGCAAGTATGAGCATCACAGAATTGGCACAAGAACAATTCTATGGTAAAGTCATCAAAAGTAATTGAATTGACAAATGCATTTTGGCGAGGGGATTCATGACGTCAGATTGAGACACAAGTCCTCACAATGAATGATTTTGTCACTACCCCTCGTTGTCCTTGTTAATGGTTCCAAAGAATTAGACCTACAGATAAAGAAGAATGAAGATTCAACATATTGAATTGAAATCTTACTCAGCGTAACTGCAGTTAGATAAATAACTAAATGACAGAACAATATAAGAAACCTATGGCTCATGTAACTAAACATCCATATGGTTCTACAAATTGTTAGAATAACTACTTTTACACCATTGCATTGGCTGGTAGATTCTACATCAGTCTAAAGAACTAAGAAATACAAAGCACAAATAGTAGCATTATTTGTTTCAATCAAGGCTATGAAGCAATTATATTGCCACTCTCTCAACTTCAGCAATCTCCTTAAGAAATTCTTACAAGAAACATGGCTTAAAACCTGCGTTGTGTCAAAATTATAATGATTTTTCGTTTTTTGTTAACAATAACATAAATTATAACAAGTGTGAGAAATCAAATCTCTTCTTTCTGCCCTTCTTTTTATTTGTTCAATTGAGTTTGAGCTGGCTGAATCGACAAGATAACAATATGAACACAAAACATTATGTTTTATGGTAACCAAAGAGATGATAGAAGTCACCTCATGTTTTCAAATCAAGATATAGATCAACAGACTACGGGCCAGGAAGGTCAGGTTGTATCTGTTTGATTCTAAACCTAAATGCCATGGATAGACATCTACCAGTTGCTAGCAAATAAAGAAAAAGAAAAAAAGTTATAGAAAAAAAGATTCGTTATGCCAGGGCCCAGGCTACAATGCTTCTTTTTGGTTTTATCTGCATCTACACATAATGCTGTATCATAAGATGTTTCAGAAAAATTAAGTTATTGCATCTAAATATAAAATCACGAGTCAAAGAATAACAAAGAGTCAAAGACATAAGATCAGTTAACTAAGCCAGATAATTACTCAAACTACTGAAGCATCTACATCAATGACAGCAAGCATCGTGAATAATGGTGCAATAGTAAAGGTAATTTAGTGCTCCCTATAGCATGACAAGTTTGAAATACTGCAGCCTGAACATAGACGGTGGTAAATTACACTCACACCCTCTATAGTTAGGTCATATTACACCTACATTAACATTTTGGTTTTAGATTTCACTTATATTTGAATGAGTAGTTTAACATTTCACTTACACCCTAAATGTCAATTTTTGATTGAATCAGAATAGTTTTGAGGTTTTAAATGACTATACTAACCTTTGACCTCATATTGACTATTTTTATGACCAAACTGTTCATCACAATCACCACTGCCCACCCGCCTCTGTCATGAACCTTCCCCTCTCTCTCTCTCCCTCTCTCTACCTTCGACCAACCAGTTCAATCTTTGTTCACAACTAAAAGGGAAGTCAGCGATGGGAAGATATTTAACCCACCCAACCAAAAAAAATCTGCACCCGAGGCTACCGAATTGACAGCACTGTCGCCACCTGAATTGCCCCCACCGTCGCCGTCGGAGTTGCAGTGATGGACGTCACGATTTTGGTGCGTTCACCCACGTGGCGTGTCAGATTACCATCACCAGCAGGGGTGCTTTCCGGTTTGGTTGATCGCTGATCTTCACGTTAATGGGTGCCGGAGTCGGAGAGGATGCTGGCGTTGACGGCGAGGATATTGACGACTTCGCCGCCCGCTTGGTCTGTGTGGACACCGTTGAATCTGTGGTCACGATTTGTGGACGTCGTCAATCGATTCGCCGATGAGGATCGGTTTTGGGGATAATGGAAGGTGCAACCAGAAAGGAAAGATGCAAATCAATTAGGATGGGTTTTGGGGATGGGTTATGTCGCAGATCGATTCGCCGATGAGGATGGGTTTTTCGCTCGGTCAATTTTCGGTGATGGGTTAATGGTGGTGGTTGTGAGGATGGAGGTGGGGATGGTGGCAGTGGTTTGAGATATGTGGTGGTGGATGTTAGGATGGAGATGGTGGCCGTGGTTTGGGATAGGTGGTGGTGGATGTAGGCGAACTTGAAGGAGTTGTATACAAATTGGTTCATAGATGGAGCCAAAGATGGTGGCGGTGGTTTGGGGGTAGGGATAGGGGCTCTTTTGTCATTTAAAATTATATATATTTTGTATTAAAAAATTAAGGATAAAATGGTCAATTCACATGATTGGGGTGTAAGTGAAAGTTAAAAATAAAATCTTCATCTAACTAAAATATGACCTAACCTCAGGGGTGTTGGTGTAATTTACCCTAAATTATATTATCAAAATAGAACAAGGTAACAAGATTGACATACAACATTCAGAAGATTGTAGTGTCTGTTGTCATAATGTTGATCGTTGAATTTCTCTGCTCGTGAGATTTTCTTACAGTATCCGCAGCGCCATTCATTTATATCCTCATGAATCTTGTTGTGCTCCTGATTCCTAAAGATATCATTGTTAGGATGGAGTCTACACTTACTTGAGGTCTGATGTGGCATTAAATACTGCACAGTACATGTAAACATCATAATCTCAAATGTTAATCGAAGTGCCTATACATCCACACAACATATTTTGCATGTCACCTCCTCAATAATTTTCCAGGCTGCCCTACTTCTTTCCCTTGAACAATGTACTTCGAGGGCATGCTCTTGTTCTTGCTTAAGAGTTCTATTCATCAAAATAAAATTTAGATTATTTACAGAAAAAAAAAAAAAGAAAAAGAAAAAGAAATTTTAATACATATCACCACAACAAACATATCAACTACTAAATAAAACCTCAAAAAAATTCTATTTTCATTCGTAGAAACCACAATTCTACAAAATGGTAAGATTTTAGCTTTTAGCCTGATCTAGTGATAGAAAGTTACCTCGAAGCTTGAGAATGTTCAGTGTTCTGTAGCAGCAGAAAGAAAACAGGGGAAAAAAAAGTCATATTTGGGAGGAATTGATATTATAAGTTGAATATACATGCATATTCACAAGAATTCAAACATGTAGGTATATAAATAAGAATGTGAAATTTGTAGAACGAAGGTCCATCAGAAGTAAGAAAGATAAATACAGCTGAATGAAACATATTGCTAAAAAGTAAAAAGTATAATCTCCAAATGCCATATGAGCACTACAAGCCAATTTGAGATCAAGCAATTTGATCACGCAGTGGATGTGACCAAGTGTAGCCAAAGAAACTATAATTAGGATAATAGACTGATAACCAACAATTGCCAGCTTGCTTGATTGAAACTCACAGGAAATGAAAGATTACTATGAGTTTTAAAGTTAAAAAAATAAAATAAACCTGATTGAACTATTTGGGTAGTCGAGGTCATATTTACACCTCTCCAATAGCATTATGTGATTGATTTGCCCCAAAAAAAAAAAATAAATAAATAAATCCCATTAAGTGCCTTCAATTTATCATCAAAACCAAGGCGTCTTCATAAACGCCTGGGTTTTGAATCTTATTCTCTCTCTCTCTCTCTCTCTCTCTGCAATTGCATTTTGTTTCTCTCTCTAGAAAGCGAAAATGAGAGAGTGTATTTCGGTCCACATTGGTCAGGCCGGTATTCAGGTCGGGAATGCATGTTGGGAACTTTATTGCCTCGAACATGGAATTCAGCCTGATGGCCAGATGCCGAGTGACAAGACTGTTGGTGGAGGTGATGATGCCTTCAACACATTTTTTAGTGAAACTGGTGTGGGAAAGCATGTTCCTCGTGCTATCTTTTTGGATCTCGAGCCCACTGTCATTGATGAAGTGAGGACTGGAACTTACCGTCAGCTCTTCCACCCAGAGCAATTGATCAGTGGCAAGGAAGATGCTGCCAACAACTTTGCCCGTGGCCACTACACAATTGGAAAGGAGATTGTTGGTCTCTGCTTGGATCGCATTCGAAAGCTTGCCGATAATTGCACTGGCCTTCAAGGGTTTCTTGTTTTCAATGCTGTTGGCGGGGGCACTGGCTCTGGTCTTGGCTCCCTCCTTTTGGAGCGCCTATCAGTGGATTATGGCAAGAAATCAAAGCTTGGGTTCACTGTCTACCCCTCTCCCCAAGTCTCAACATCTGTTGTTGAGCCTTACAACAGTGTCCTGTCGACTCACTCACTCCTGGAACACACTGATGTGTCTGTGCTTCTGGACAATGAAGCCATTTATGACATCCGCAGGCGCTCTCTTGACATCGAGCGGCCCAAGTACACCAACCTGAATCGCCTTGTCTCTCAGGTGATTTCCTCCTTGACTGCTTCTCTGAGGTTTGACGGGGCCCTGAATGTGGATGTGACTGAATTCCAGACCAACTTGGTCCCCTATCCCAGGATTCACTTCATGCTTTCCTCTTATGCACCTGTCATCTCTGCCGAGAAAGCATATCACGAGCAACTGTCAGTGGCTGAAATCACCAACAGTGCATTTGAGCCCTCGTCGATGATGGCCAAGTGTGATCCTCGCCATGGCAAGTACATGGCATGCTGCCTAATGTACCGAGGCGATGTTGTACCCAAGGATGTGAATGCAGCTGTTGCCACCATCAAGACCAAGCGCACTATCCAGTTTGTTGACTGGTGCCCCCACTGGATTCAAGTGCGGCATCAACTACCAGCCACCCACTGTCGTTCCTGGAGGTGACCTTGCCAAGGTGCAGAGGGCTGTTTGCATGATCTCGAATTCTACCAGCGTGGCGGAGGTTTTCTCCCGCATTGACCACAAATTTGATCTCATGTATGTGAAACGTGCATTCGTGCACTGGTAAGTGGGTGAGGGAATGGAGGAAGGAGAGTTCTCGGAAGCCCGGGAGGATCTTGCTGCTCTTGAGAAGGACTATGAGGAGGTTGGTGCTGAATCAGCTGAGGACGAGGATGGTGATGACGGTGATGAATATTGAGGGCTTTTTGTTTACCCCTGCAAGTGAAGTCTTGTTGTGGTCTGATTTCTATGATGTATGTTTTTTGTTTTTGTTTTTGTTTTCGTTTTGTTTACTTTTGATGTTTGGTGAACAGTGTGGCTCTATGTTACTTGTTACAAAGTCTCTTCTGCTCTGAATTTCTATGAAAAACTGAATATGTATCCATGGTGTTTTCTATCAAAAAAAAAAAAAATTATCATCATTCCCCCTCCTCCTATTTTAAAGCATAAAATTCCATATTCATAACTGTCAAATCCTTTCCTCAATTTATTAACAAATAACACAAGTCATATACATAAACACACACATGCAATTCCATATCCATACAAATAGGGTTCAGCAATTTCAGCAGTCAATTCACACATCAATTACAATTGAAAGACCAAGTCACATACATAATCATAAACTAATCCTCAATTTGCTTAGATTCAACGATAACAGAGAAATCCCCAAAGATTGGTGTCCATAAGTGCACTCTTATCAGCTTTAATTCTTGAACATGTAACTCTTAAGCTATACTTAGAACGTAGAGACTAGAGAGAATTAAGTTGTTGAAATACTACATTAGCTCTCAAAATGGGAATTATATTTCATTCTACTTTTCACGTGCAGTTGTAATTTGATCACTACCTTCCTGTGAAATGAGAATATTGTATTGCTTTTATGTTCATAAATGAAATTTTATCAATGTGATTTTTTTTTTTTTTTTTTTTTGTCATTAAGGTGTCCTATTTGTCTGCACTTATTCAACACCAAATACTGTCAAATGAACATGAACTTGTCTGCACTTTTTCGACTGATTTGTCGGAGCAGATTGCTTCTAAGGAGCATATCTTAATGACGATAGCTGTTACATTATGGCATAGGAACCTGTCGGTACTATAGGAAATTGGGCTACAAGCTTGAATGTCCTTACATGGCAAATGCTTGTTTTGTGATTCATGTTATAGAGTTGATCTGACCTGTATAGGGTTTTGTTTGAGCCAGAAACAGAAAAAAAAAAAAAAAAAAAAAAAAAAAAAAAAAAAAAAAAAAAAAAAGAAGCATGTAATGCGAAACACACTCCCTATCTATCAATTAGAACACCCTTTTAACTTCAGCCTGTCCACCTCCATTTCTGCAGTTAATGTTACCTTCCAAAACATTGCTCTCGGCTTGTCTTCAACCCAAACTAAAAACCACGAATCTTTAATTACATCGAATTCCTCTACCATGAAAGTAACAGCAACACGATTAGAATTTATCATGAGATTGGTGGTTATGTGAAGTGAGCATTGAAGAATGGACCTCATATCTCTCTCCCTCACCAAACACCAGAAACATTCAGAAGACAGTTATAAAGCTCACTTTTGAAGCACCAACTGTCCATGTATTGGTTTATTATTTGCAAGGTGATCAAAGCAGCGAGTTCGGTATACTTCAAGTAAACTACAGTTAGTGAACCGCTACATGAAGGCACGGAGAGAAGGTTTTTGTTCGGTTCAAAATTGACATTGGAGTGTTTACAGATGCCGGGGAAGTTTCCTCTGCCCCGGCCTTCTAAGATATAATGGATTCAACCATGCTTTCCAATGCCCTTGTGACCATTTATGAGATCAGCAATTTCTATAAAAATGCTTTTGAGTGCGAGCACAACTGTAGACACATAAAGTACAGACCTTTCTATGGCTTTGTGGAGTGGGTCAGCCTATGTTGATGTAGAAAGGACTTCACGGCCAAAGAAGATGGAAGATTACATGAACCATGTACAGAATTTGGAGGCAGGGAGTGGCCGATAGTTGCGAGAATAATCATGGTGATGCCTAGAAAATGTCTTTGGAATGTTGTGATGCTCTCTCTGAGAACTGCAAAGGACTTCAAAGTCCTTTGGAAGAACATTTGGCAACTCTCTTGTTCTCTCTTTACGAGGCTTAAACGCCCCATATAGGAAGTCAGGTATGTGATTAGTTGGGAAAAACAGAGGAAAATAAGGCACACAAATTCAGCTCTACAGTTAGTTGATATTCCTTGCATTTGGGGTCACACGTGAACTGCAATCCTGGGTGAAAGCATTTCTGAAGAAGCATCAAAGATGAAACTGTAGTGCATGATTAAGATTGTTAATGTTAGCATCTAGCAAATGGATCAATAAACAAATCTTTGAAAATTAGAATGCCAGCTAAAAGATGTTGCAATTTGCCACCCTTGAGGGGATTATCCTGCGACATTTTCAATAGTTGAGGGGGTTAAGTTGCAAAAACTTGTATAGTACAGGAGGGTTTTGTTTTTTTCAAATAGCCCTATAATAAGGATTGCTATTTGCTGTAGAAGAGACCTGTATTGATGTTTGACTGACGTGGTTTTGCAAAACTGTATTGTAGAAGAGGCCTTTTCCAAATGGTGAGATTACTGGGACTTAATAATTACCCTATCATCAGGAAGCATCACATGGGGAAAAAGTAACAACCTTCCTGTTCATGCATGAATTGGTTGTGTGAGATTTGTGAAGAAATGGTTTCTTTTCAGTATAACAACTAATTGGAACATAAGAATAGATGGTGTACCAGAACAGTAATAAAAAGGATCACATAGTAACAATCCCTAAAAATTATCTGCATCCATCACAATACATTCTAGAGCCAAGTCAATTCAACCAATTCGACTATCAAGTCCAAGACAAAAGGGCTAGATCATGACTACAGAAAATCGTATTCACCGGAAAAAAGTACCTCTATTGTCTTAAAATTTTCAGTATACAATAAATGCCATAATGTTGGGATGCAGGAATGCTACACCACTAATAAATGGAGCAATTTTACCAAGCGAATCTGCTGACCTATGGCTTCCATTGACAAATGCAATTTGGCGAGGGGTCCATGAAGTCAGATTGAGACATAAGTCTTCAGACTCTTCAATCTCACAAGCCATTTTATGCATTAAAAATTGTCATATATTCTGAGACTATAACCGATTTGGAAGATAAATCCTTAAAGGCCCAAAAACCTTAAAAGCAATACAAAATTGCATGTTAAAAGGATGTATTGAGTGCTCAACCATTATCAATCTTTTTCTCCCCTACAAGAAGCATCATGCACTGGAAAAAAAAAAAAAAAAATCAGGTACAATATATACAAACAAGGAGAGTCTCAACATGACTTATCAAACAGGAACTAGTCCATTTATGTTTATTCTCTCTTCTCAGAGCTTGTATGCACTATGTACCAATATCTCCTCTCTTTCTAGACTTTTAAAATGATGATGAGAAATATACTTCAGGAAAAAATAATTTATCTCACCTTCTTATATAACACTTTCTAGTAGAATAATAATCAGTGATTAAAAACTTGCGTTGTGTCGAAATTATAATAACTTTTCATTTTTTGTTAACAATAACATAAATAATAGTAAGTCTGGGAAATCAAATCTCTTTTTTTCTGACCTTCTTTGATTTGTTCAATTGGGTATGACTCTATGAGCTGGCTAAATCAACCAGATAACAATACGAACACAAAACATTATGTGTTATAGTAACCAAAGAGATGATAGAAGTCACCTCATGATTTGAAATCAAGTTATAGATCAACAGACTATGGGCCAGGAAGGTCAGGTCGTATCTGTTTGATTCTCAACCTAAATGCCATGGACAGAAGTCCACTAGTTGCTAGCCAATTAAAAAAAAAAAAAGGTACTAGATAAGAAGATTCATTATGCCAGGCTACAATGCTTCTTTTTGGTTTTAGCTGCATCTACACATAGTACTGTATCATAAGTTGTTTCAGAAAAAATAAATTATGACATCTAAATATAAAACACGTGATGGAGATGCGTCTATAGTTTGTGTAATTATCTGGCTTAGTTAATTGATCCTATGTCTTTGTTATTCTTTGACTCGGACAACAAGCATCATGAATAATGGTGCAATAATATGTCAATTTTTAAAAACTGCAGCCTGAACATAGAAAGTAAATTTATATTATCAAAAAAGAACAAGGTAACTTGATTGACATACAACATTCAGAAGATTGTAGTGTCTGTTGTCATAATGTTGATCAAGAAACTTCTCTGCTCGGAAAATTTTCTTACAGTATCCGCAGCGCCATTAATTTTTATCCACATGAATCTTGTGCTGCTCCTGATCCCTAAAGATATCATTGTCAGGATGGAGTCTACACTTAGTGGGTGTGACCAAGTAGCCAAAGGAATCATAATTAAGATTATAGACTAATAAACAACAATTGCCAGCTTGAGGACTACAAGCCAATTTGATATGAAGCTATTCAATCACCCAGTGGGTGTGACCAAGTAGCCAAAGGAATCATAATTAAGATTATAGACTAATAAACAACAATTGCCAGCTTGCTTAATTAAAATTCACACCAAAATGAAAGACTACAAGTTTTAAAGTTAAAAAAAAAAAAAATGAACCCATGAAGTACCTTTATCTTGTAATCAATTTTTTTTTAATTAGCGAAAAAAGAAAAGAAAGGTAAAGCATAAAATTCCATATTCATAACTCTCACTTCCTTTCCTCATTTTATTAGCAAACATCACAAGTCATATACACATGCAATTCCGTATACATACTAACAGGGTTCAACAAAAAAAAATAAATAAATAAACAAACTAATACTCAATTTGATCAGATTAAAAAATTAACACATCAATTACAATTGAAAGACTAAGTCACACGCATAAACATAAACAAACTATACTCAATTTGATCAGATTCAACAATAACAGAGAAATCCCCAAACTTGATTGAAATGTAATAGCACCCAATCACCCTTTTCAAATTCTACATAAACATACACAAGCAAATCCATATCCAGACCAACAGGGTTCAGCAATTTCAAAAGTCAATTAACACATCCATTACAACTGAAATACTAAGTCACATACATAAACATAAACTAATCCTCAATTAGCTTAGATTCGAAGATAACAAAGAAACTACCAAACTCGATTGAAGTGTAATAGCATCCAAAAACCCTTTTCAAATTCTACAATTTTTACAGTCAAATATAATGATGCAAACCAAACACAACAATACAAATATATACACAAAACCGTAGGAGTTGAAGTGGAAAGCCATACGAATAGAAGCACATACACCATCACCGTCGTCCTTATCTCTCACTCAGAAGGATATAAACTCGCCCAGAACAAAACGACGTCGTTTTGGGCTGGGCTCTAGTAAAAAAAGAGATACCGTAAGTATTAGTTGACGTCGTTCTCTGATTATATCAGTATTAGTATAGATCGTCTGTGCTCCTCCACGTGGACTTGTATGGGCCGTTCGATTAACAAACCCGATCTAATGGTTCCCGCTCAAAATTTAAATCGACACGGACGGGTTTAGAGAGAAAGAAAGGCTTGATGAGAGAAGGGCAACTATCGACTGATCTGGGGGAGGTTTAGCGATCTAGAGAGTTCTGAAAGCAAAACCAAAAAAAAACTGAAAGCGTGGTTAGAGAGAGAGAATGAAAAGGGAGAAGATGGGGTTATTTTGGTCCCTTAAAAATGATAGTGCAACGGGCCAAAAACGACATCGTTTTGGGTTGGGCTCTAGGAAAAAAAGAGAGTGTAGTAGTATTGTCTCTAGGATTTTGTGAAAAGAAAGTGAAGAGTGGGAGTGTGCAGAACTTCTGTTGCTGTGAAAAGGTCTACATGGTCTAGAGTGCTAGTAGGGAATAAAATACTATATTCAATAACGAAGGTAAAATTGTTAATTCATTCCGTGGTGTTAAAAAGACAATATGTAGCAGGGGGTCTGATTGTAATTATGCAAAGATGGGTTTGACGTAATAAAGGCAAAACACAGGAGGTCAAATTGTATTTTACCCATTTATAAATCAATGGCACAAACTTGTATTGTTAGCAACAAGTTTAAAAATCAATGGCACAGACCTATGCTGGTTTTGTCCTCAAGGGGAAGATTTCATAAAATCCCTAATACTATCAGCTTTTGTATCAAATACTCCCAACCTACTTTAGAAAATCCCCAACACTATGAAAATTGATCACATTGCACCATGCCTATGATAAAAGGACGAAACTACCCCCAAATCAATTAAAACACCAAAATATGTATTTTGCCAATTACTAAAATACCCTTGGTGACATTTGTATAACCAGAGCACAAAACGACCGCGTTTTGTGTGTGTGTGTATATATATATATATATAATATTCACCTCCTTCGTTCGCCCTTCGCCGTTCTTTTCCATCTCACCTGTGCCTTGCAAATGCAAATTTCATTGGAGGTCAAATGCAAAGCTTCATTAGAGCTGCGATTTCACGCTATAACTGTGATCCACAAAGGAAGGTATAGGAGGGTTGAAAGGACAGCGCAAGTTGAGAGTTTTTTCTGCGAAATCCCTTAAGTAATCATGGGTGGAAGTTTTTGAGGAAGTAATCTGAAGCCGCCGTTTTCTCCTCCATTCAAATAATCAGTCGACGTGATTTTAAAAACCTAATTGAAGGTAATTTGCTGGCCTATTTGATGGTAATTTGTTGCCCTAATTGAATGTAATTTGCTGCCCTAATTTAATGTAATTTGCTCTTACCCTAACCCTAATTTAAACCCCCATACCAAAGCCGTAATTGAAATATCTTACCGTAGCCCTAATTATGTGAATTTTGTTTTTCAACTCGTAAATTCAATATCTACCTTAGTTCCCAGGCATGACCAGTATAAAATTTTATTGTTATGAGTTGGTTTTGATTTGTAGATTTTAATCCAAGAATGTCTTCTTCAAGCAATCAACATGGGAGTCTTGATCTAAGGTATACCGATGCTGAATGTGATTGTCAAAAAAAAGCTATAATCCTGGTAACAGGGTCCGATGAATATGACAATATGGGAAAGCTAAACTATAGATGTCAAAATAGAAGATGTGGATTTTAGGAATGGTGTGAACCAATTTCAATAGGAACTTCAAATGCAAATGGGAAGAAGATTGAGGTTGGTCAACAAGTTCTTAGAAATGATATTGCTTACTTGAAGACTAAATTGACTGCCATGGAAGGAAGTCTTCAATTGATGAAGAAAGTTGTTGCAGCCTGTATCATCATTTCTATTGTTGCTTTTGTGTCAACTTTGGGAGGGAAATAGCCTAGTTCTTGGTTCGACTTAGGAGGTGTAGGGACTAGTTGTGCTTTTGTGTTTGGTTTAGGATCTTGCAAGTTGTTTTGTGTTGCAAGTTGGTGTTAATGTACTCTGCTCTTAAGGTGGTTATATTACAATTATTTGATGTCCTTTAAATGTTAGCATACGTAGTTTCAATGGCATGTTCACAACATTGATACCAAATGTTCAAATGAAACATGTCATACAATAACCTGTTAACAAATGTAATACAACAATCCATTCAAATGCAATTGACCAATCCATCCAAATGAAACCTGTTTACATCATGGGGTACAACAATCCATTCAAATGCAATTGACCAATCCATCCAAATGAAACATGTTTACATCATGGGGTACAACAATCCATTCAAATGCAATTGACCAATCCATCCAAATAGAGTTTAATGAACGAGAACATTTTATACTTCACAGTCATATCAATATAATCATGGTCTAATGAACAAGAACATTTAATACTTCACAGTCATATCAATATAATCCTGGTCAGTTGCCAATTTTGATATACTCCCATCTCTCAAACATCTGTAGTGCAAATCACTTCTTCCAGAACAACCAACCAACTGTGGAATGCAATTCAAATCTACCATTGACATGCGGTCAATATCTACTCCATCAATGTTAGTCATAGACCCACCAACATAATACATTTGCTCTGTCTTATCAAATTGGCCACCATGATGAACTTGAAGACAGTATAATTTCGTGAAAACATGATTATAACCTATCAATAAACAAACACAAATTAATTAACTATTAATAAAGTCCTACTTAATTAACCAACTAATTAGTTTACCAACACATTACAATTTAAAAACACTAAATAGAAACTGAGTTTAATTATAAAAAAAAAGCATATAAACTAACCCTAATATATAATACAACACACAAAATCATATCAATAAACAAACACAAATTAATTAAATATAAACTGAGTTAATTAAAAAAAACATATAAACTGACTTTAATTAAGAAAACCATATAAACTGACTTTAATTAAAAAAAACATATAACCCTAACCCTAACCCTAATATATAATACAACACATAAAATCTTAATTAATTAACTCTAATTAATCAAACCCTAATTTAATCAATAGGGACCATAACCCTAATACAAAATTACAATAACCCTAAATTATTCAATGGTCCCAAGCTATTGGAATCATACCCGACAAAGACCCCGCAGATGAAAATGATGTCCAAACAATACTAAAAGCCATACCTTTCGACATGTTGTTGTCTAGAAAAGTCGAAGACAAGAACCTCGAATAGACCACTCCTTACGAATCTTCACTGACCCACATATGAAAGCAACCCCACTGATCAGTGTTTGAACGAAAAGAGCACAGAAGAGATTGAATCAGGAAAAGAAAACCACACAATCTCACTCAAATGCACCCTCAAAACTTAGTCCCTTCCAACAAAAAGTGATCGCAAGTGTTTGTCAATAACCCTTCCCCTTAGATCGCTTAAGATTCTCTCTCTCATATGCAAAGTTATTATACATAGACATATACATATAATATATACCAACCAATTCGTCAAATGGGTTTGATCAAAACGACCGCGTTTAGTGGCTTTTAATGTATACGCACAAAACGCGATCGTTTTGTGCTCTGGTTATACAAATGTCACCAAGGGTATTTTAGTAATTGGTAAAATATCTATTTTGGTTTTTAAATTGATTTGGGGGTAGTTTCGTCCTTTTATCACATACATGGTGCAATGTGATCAATTTTCATAGTGTTGGTGGTTTTCTAAAGTAGGTTGGGGGTATTTGATACAAAAGCTGATAGTATTGGGGGTTTATGAAATTACCCCTAAAATTAATCAATGTTTTAATTAAAGAAAATTTTGATACTGATTAGAAAGCAGAATACATATACAGTTATATATACATATGTATGTGTCTATATATACAAAGATATATAACAAATGAAAATAGGCATAAGTGACTTCTCACCATGACTGCCTCCCTAGGTTTGATTGAAGCTTGGTATTAAGTATAATACAAGACCACTCATGTGGAAAAGTACTAAAAGTAAAACAAAGCTCTAAAAATGCAGAATCATAGGAACTACTGGATTTACTAGGCTCTTAATCATATATAGCATATATAACTTGAAATTAAATTGAACTTAAATGTATAATATACATTTCTGAAACAAATGAAACCCTATTATGCAAACGATGCCTGTGAGTTTAACTAGTTCTGATTATAAAAGCTTTTTTAAATTTATGTTGTTGGAATGTAATACTTCAAAAGAAGAAGAAAAAAGATGCTCCTTAGAGAATTTTTGCCCCTGAACTACTCATATTTCATATTAAAATGCATTTTGCATCGTCATCATATCATTGCCTTTATCCCAAATGACTAGACTCTGTTAATTATAGGGAGGAGATATTGGCTTGAAACTTTGACGGGAGAGTGAAGAATCAATAACTAAGACTTGAGGCTAACAATTAAAACTGTTAGCCTCAAGGATTCAACCCAAGTTTGTATGGGTGATTTTGATGATGCCAATCCATTAATAGTGTAGATTTAATGAGTTTACTTGAGTGTGCATATTAAAAGGTATCAAATTATCTTAAGTGTCTCAAATTCTTTCGACCACATGATCTTAGAACTCAAAGATCAAAAGTCAAAGATCAATGGCAAAGCTGAAATAAATCCAAGCCTCGTGATGATGGAACCCAAGAGCTCAAAGAATTTTTTATCAAAGACTTGGGTAGGCTAGTCTTCGTAAGTGTTAGTATTTAATGTAAAGTTATTTTTGAAGCAATTTAATTTTTAAGCTCAACCCCTTACTTAGTTGACTCCAGAACCTAATGCACCTCAATCATATCATTTTAATAGTTCCAAGACACGTAGCAATGGAGCTTGAATTTAATTGAACCATCTATAAGGTCCTTCTTGCTAGTGGAAGGTCAAATGAACTTGTATCTCGCAAATGAGCAAAAATCAGCAATCACAAATTCAGGAAATGAGAGCACTTAAACAGCCATAACTTTCAATGTGTGTGGAGTTTTTAAGGGGGGCCAAGTGCATTGCAGAGTTCATTTTAAGAGCTTGAATCTCAACACAAATTTGGCCTAATTTGGATTTAAAATGAGCGAGTTATTACTGTTTGAAGTGGGACCTTTAATGCAGAATTTCCATCTACTTTGCAAAATCCAGTACCTATGCTTTATGACCTGAATTAGAAATAGCATCCTATAAAATATGTAGAAAAATTAGATCTAGAAGTAGCCGTCTAGAACTTCCATAGTATTGAGCTACAAGTACAAAAAGTTCAAATTTTGTTAGATCTAACCTCGCCCACTTGC